TTACCTTGTGTCACTAAAGTATATCAGTATTTTGTGTATATATTTATATGAATTAAAATTAGAATTTTCGGATTTTACATTATGTATATATGTTTATAAAAGTTATTTAGTGGATTTTATCTTATATTTCTCAAAGAATTACTAGTTATACAATATATTACAAATGCCGTCTAAGAAGGTAGTGTTTCCACTTTTGTGTTGCCAAAACAATTGCCATAAGCTCTCTTTCATAAACCGACTTCGCTTGAGACCGGGGTGAAAGTCCCTAACTAATAAATGCTAATGGTCACCTTTCTTGCATTAAGGCAACCCCAAGTCCCAAACTTGAAGCATTTGTTTCAATAATGAAGATCTTGGAGAAATCAGGCATAGCTAGGACAGGTACTGTTGTCATCACTTGCTTTAGTTCTTGGAAACTCGCTTGGGTAGATTCTGTCTAGATAAAAGAGTTCTTGCAAAACAGGTCAGTGAGTGCTTTTGCTCTTGTGCCATACCCCGATACAAACTTCCAATAGTAGCCGATGAGCCCCAGAAAACCTCAAAGGACCTGAAAGGACCTTAATGTCCTTTGGTACAGGCCAGGACAGAATTTAATCAATTTTGGCTGGATCAACAGAGATACTCATAAGAGATATGATATGACCCAAGTAATCCAAATGAGTTTGTGCAAACTTACATTTTTTTTGGTTCATCACAAGCTGATGTTGTTCCAGAATCTAAAAGGCGATATGCAAATGTATATCAAGATGTCCTCGAAGAAGACCGGTATGAATCGTCGAAGGTAGGGCTTCAAAATGTCATTCATCAGGGCCTAGAAAGTGGATGGCGAGTTAGATAAACCAAAAGGCATCACAAGAAATTTGTAATGGCCTTCATGTGTCCGGAACATCGTTTTGTATATGTCATTGTCCTTTACTCGGGTTTGGGGGTAACCAAATTTGAGGTCCAGCTTGGAAAAGATAGTAGCTCCACCTAATTCAGAGAACAACTCATCAACAGTGAGTATCAAACACTTGTCTGGAATAGTGATCTTGTTGAGTGCCCTGTAGTCGACATAAAAACACCACCCCCCATCTTTCTTCCTTACCAACAACACCAGGTTGGAGAAAGGACTCTTGCTTGGTCGTATAATTTCGGATACTAACATATCGTGCACAATCTGCTCAATCTCATTCTTCAAATAATATGGGTACCTATAGGGTTTAATGTTAGGGGGCTGACTTCTAGGCTGTAGTCTAATAGCATGATTGTGAATCCTAGCCGGGAGAAGTCTCGCAACAGGTTTGAATAGCTTCTCATGATGCTTCAAGAGTTCCATAACCCTTGTATTCACACTTGATTCTTCCTCAGCGAATTTCCCTTTAGCTCGTAATTGTATATGATCAAGTTCAATGTAGTAGCTAGGTCCCTCAAACTGAAGTGTTTTCAGCATTCTCTTTAACAAGACCATAGTTTTGCTTAAAGTTAGTTCCCCGTAGAGTGTCACTGGTCCACGTGCACAATGAAACTTCATAATCAACTTCTTCCAATTAGTCATGGATTCGCCATGTGTCTCTAGACAAGCCATGCCCAAATGACGTCGGTACTGCTCATCTTGAACGAAATTTTTTTTTTTGCATAATGTCAACACCCTGTAGCTTCAGTCGTACATCTCTACACTCCTCTTGACATTTCACATTGAATCCGTCCCCCACTCTCACTCCAAAAGCTTTGGTATGTAGCATTGGAATTTGTAGCTCATCAATCACTCCCTGGTTAATGAAGTTATGCGATGCACCACTATCCACCAAGACTAAAACTTCTCTACCCATAATCTCTCCTTTTAATTTCAAGGTCCTCGGTCCTATGATACCCACAACCAAACTCATCGCTAACTCTGCTTCCTTTGGAACCCCATCATTAGTCGTATCTTCCTCGGTAATTCCAACATCTTCTTGTACCTCACCATCTTCAACCAATAAGACATGGAACTGGCGTTCACTACATTTATGCCCTAGGGAGTACTCGCATCACACCGATAACACAATCCCTTATCCCTCTTCAATTGAATCTCAGCTTCCGTCAACTTCTTAAACAGAAACTCTCATCTAAAAGTGCTTGACTTGGAGTTTGTAGATGAGGTTGAGTTAGAGTTGGAGCTGGAATTAGAAAATATCTCGCATGGGTTTTTATGGGCTGTGGTGTTATATTGGTTGGACGCATTAATAAAATTGGTTTGGGCTTGATGAGTCTCTTCAGGCCTGGTTTGAGAAATGAAATTACGTGGGCTAGTGTTGGCATAGCTCCATTTATTCTGTCGGCCTAATTGAGAACGGGCCTCTTCAATCACTAAGTTCCTCTTCTCAATCCTTTAGGCCAAGAGGGTTACACTTGTTAAGGAATTAGGTTGCTGCAGTTTGACTTCTACCTTCACCTTCGGTTTTAACCTATTGAGGAAGGTTGCTATAAAGACATCCTCCCTCTCCCCAGTAGTTAATGTCGCCACCTCCTTAATTTTTCTCTGATATTCAATCACCGTTCCCTTTTGTCTTATGGCCATCAAGAGCTCTAGTGGGCTGACCTCTTAGGTCTTAGTAAATCGTTGTAATAGAGCCACCTTGATCGTCGGCCATGTCCTTACCTCTGCCCGAGACTCTGTCCACTGGTAACAGTAGAAAGCCTCCCCCTCTTGCATTGTGCTTTCGTGGACACCTTATGTTCATCCGGGATCTGGTTGATGGAGAAATACCTCTTTACACAAAAAACCCCACCCATAAGGATCTTCGTTGGAGATGATGGGTAGCTCCAACTTCCTACCACCCCAGTCACGGTGATCTCTCCCATCTCCGTCGTGGTTCCAATCCTCTCCATCTGGGTTTCCCCTTAAGGTTCCACCTAGGTTTCCCTAGTCCCTATGAGGATTGCCCTCTGTTCTACCCCTCTGTCACAACTTGAGTCTCTGGTAACATTCCTTCTACGCTCTTCTTCTTCTTCATCTTTCTTGCGCATCCAATTTTACATGTCCATCAAGATCTCCCTCATGGAATTCACTGTTTCAATCACCCTAGCTACATCCCTCTAAACAACTGCCATATCTTTTTTCACAGCCTCTACTCTATTCTCCATCCTAGTGTCAACCATAACCCAACTGATAACCTGGCTCTGATACCAAAAATGATGGATACCTTCACTGGAACTCCTTACTTGCAACGCAACTTCCAAACAATCCACACAACCACAGCAACACCAGACGGCACATACATCAATATAAACCGAAACAATAACCAGACAAGGGAATGCAAATACGATTCTATTAAAAGTTAAGAATTATGCTCAACAGACCCCAAATAACCAAATAACAACTAGAAACAAAAAGAAAAAGATAAGTTGGTCTTCGAGGACCAGCACCTCCCAGGACAGACCAATACACCAATTTCAGAATGTCGCCCCTCTACCCATTCTTCTTCTTTTATTCTGACACCCAAATCCCAATCCTAACTAACTACCTAGCCACTTGTCTCAATGCATTTTCCCCCTTTTGTCCCTTTGTCTCGTGCCTTTGCCTTGCGTGTGTACCACTTTGAAATCCAGGGTCCATCAGAATCTTAGAGACTTGATTTAGAATTTACCAATTAAGGTTGTTGCCAATGTTTTGGTTATGATGGATATTTTAGTTGGTTGTATAGATGCTTTTGCTGTCTCCTTGTTTTACTTCAAAAAAANCACTTGTCTCAATGCGTTTTCCCCCTTTTGCCCCTTTGTCTTGTGCCTTTGCCTTGCGTGTGTACCACTTTGAAATGCAGTGCCCATCAGAATCTTAGAGACTTGAATCAAGTCACTTGATTTAGAATTTACCAGTTAAGGTTGTTGCCAATGTTTTGGTTATAATGGATATTTTAGTTGGTTGTATAGATGTTTTTGTTGTCTCCTTGTTTTACTTTTAAATTAAAAAAAAAAAAAAAAAAAAACAATTTTTGAAACTTTTATGCATTTGAAAACCTTGTTCTTTCATAGTCTTCTAGCCCTAGGTCTTGAAAGGACAAAGTTGATTATGATTAACCTTTAGTACCATGATTTAAGAATCTATTAGGTTAACTTTACGTTTAATATTGTAGAGTTTGAAAGTAGAAAAACTAACGCAATTAATATTGCTAATAAAAAATAGTATCATAAAAAGATAAATTTTTAATTATTTTACGCCATAGGCCTAGAAAAACCGAGTGGTCGTAGTGCACAACTATTTTTTTTTTTTTTTTTTGTGATCAAGGATGTCCGAATTAGTTTTTGCGTACTTCAATAAATCCCTTGAAGCATTGATGTTGACAGCCGAATAAATCCTCTCAGTAGTCATCCCTATTAGCAACTCAGATAAATCGAACTCAAGATCTCTTGAATAATACATTTAAGAATCCTAGTTATCTGTTGGACCACTCAATAGTAGTTATGCACAACTAATGTTGCCTGGTCTCCAAATTATTTCCTATGTATTGTAAAATATCTATGGGCAGGAATTTGTATATCAATTTTATGTCAAAATTTTAAGTGAAAAAATCTTATCCCTGATATATGATTGACTTATAGTGTTAGAATCTTGATATGACTTTTATGTTAAATATTAGAAATTTATCTTAATATGATCATTAAATGTTAGAAATTTATCTTAATATTAATCTCTATCATAATATTTGTTGTAAAATTTGAGTATCTTAATTAAATAACATCTATTTATAATATCATTTTTTCCCGTTGAATGTTAAAAATTTATGGAAAATGTTTACTTCTATTTCTATATTTTTGTAAAAGTTAAAAGACATAACTCTCTAGTCTACAATGGATATGATATCAAAATCTTTATGAGAATTTTTGTAATTCTCTTATAATTAATAAACTATTTCGGTAGAACTTATACTTTTAAAAATTAATAAATATTTATTAAATTATTTTCAAACTTTTTATTTTAACAACAAAAATTTACCGAGTAAATTTTCTTTTATATGTATATCTTGATTGTTCGAAAAGTCTACTCCCACACATCACATCACATGATCTTCCCAAAAACGGCTCCTTGGACCTTTAAACTTTTGTCTTCGTCTTCACTTGAACCCCCGAAACCAGAACTTTCAAAACTTTCACACCACCCCCCATTTTCTCTCCCTCTCAAATGGATGATCCCAGCGTTGGAGGACTCATTCAACAAGCTGTTGCTGCACCGGGAGAACCCAGCACTGAACAGACCCAGCTTGAAACAAACCAGCAAGAGCCTCACGAGGGCATGTTCTTCGAATCCGAGCAAGAAGCCAAGTCATATTACGACGAGTACGCCAGGCGGGTCGGGTTCTTGACCCGGGTTTTGTCCTCGAGAAAGTCGGAGCGTGATGGGTCTGTCATATCTCGGGGACTTGGGTGTCGAGGAGCTTGTGGGAACCGGAGTAAAGGGCAGAGAGAGAGCTGTTTGGCTATGGTTTTGTTGAAGAAGGAGAAGCAAGGAAGATGGGTTGTGAGGAAGTTTGTAAGAGACCATAATCATCCTTTGGTGGCTCACTTGCCGAAGTGTAGGAGAAAACTTGTAAGCGTTTTTTTATTTTTTATTTAGTTATTTTTTTTTTAAATTAAATATTTTAGCTTTTTTTTTTCTTTTTTCCGGATTAGTTGTAATGGTGGGGGTTTTAGAAGGTGACCCTTTAGTTTAGTTTAGTTTGGTGTAGTTTAGTTTAGAGCTTGATGAGCATGCAGGGGAAGTGGAAGGTTTCTGTAGTTTACAACAAAAATGAGGTTTCTAACTGTTTAAACAGGAAATATATACTTCATTATCGTCTAAATAGAGTTAACTTCATGATTGAAAGTATTGATATTGTAGAAAATGTTAAAGTTAAGCTTGAATTGTGATGTTGAATGGGTAATAACATTCATTGTAAGATAGAATGGAAAGCTTTTAAAGGGGAATGTAAGATTTATCAAATGTTATGAAATTAGTAGGCAGTGTCAAAACTTAACACTGTCGTAGTGCTTAGGTTTGTTCTTCTATGTGGAAATTATATGGTTTCACAATTTAGTTTGGAAGTAGATTAATTAAAAAAGTATGCATTTGTGGATTTTATTCTTTTGAATTAGATTCTTAGAATGGGCATGGGGTTTTGATGTCAACAACCTTGGATCTTTAGCTTCAAAATATTTTCTTTAACTGTTTGGCACTTCTAGGATTAATCAAGTTAAAGTAATAGGGAATTATATTGTGCAGAATAAGGGATAAGCAAAGCTCTATTGTTTAGAGACAGGCAGTCCTTCGGCATTCTCCCAAGTGACGAAATGATGGTGTGGGTTCACTGGGGCTTAGGTCTAAATGTTGCTAATCAGAGGAGAAGATAGAGTTAAATGAAGAGGATACAAACGCCTGAGACTTGTAGTCAAATACCAAATTCATGTGATCTTTAATAGAGTTCTACATATAAAGTAGGGAAAAAGAAGCAGAGATATAAGATTTGGGAAACAAAATGGGATAAGCTCGTGACCAATAGCTACAAAAGCGAGAAAGAAAGGAAAAGGAGATAGTCAAGGGGTAAAACGCCTAAATTATTATTTTTTTATTTTGTAGAAACAGTCTTTATATGAACTTAACATAGGTTTATTTTGGAATCCCAATACTTAAAAGACTACAGAACTTTTACAATGTTCAGCAAGTTACTCCTCCATGAGGATCATGACGATTAATTGCATCTTTTCTTTTCCTTAGCTTTTTCTTTTTAATCATTCAACATTTCCAGATATTGACATATTTAATCATTTTCAAGTATGAACCCTGCTGGAATCTGGACCTGCCATTTTACTTGGGCTTTAACTTTATTCTAGTATGGTTTTGGTATTACGTGGTTTATCAAAAGTTACTTTCTTATGTTACCAACATTGGCCCTGCTATTATGCTTTCTTATACAATCTGGTTTTTATTTAATTTTTTCTAGGATGAGAAGGATAGGAAAATTCAGGAATTGACTGCAGAACTGCGGATTAAGAAAAGGTTAAGCACAGCATATAGAGAACAGTTAAATACATTCATGAAAGATGTTGAAGACCATAATGGACATCTATCGGCAAAAGTTCAATTAGTTTTTGACAACTTGAAGCAGCTTGAAGCTGAAAGGCAGGAACTGTTACACCGGAAATGACTTCCATATGCAGAGTATATCATCTTTTGCTTAGATTGTTAGGTATGCCTCTTAATTCACTTCGGTTGTTTATCTTTTGCTTTGGTGGTATTCTTTTTGGTAAATGGGAAGTGTTTTCGCTAGAGAAAAATATATGGGATCCTATGAACATACCCTTATAATCGAATGAATTTATCAGCTTTTACATACATTCAAGGAAGTAGTGATAGAATACATGCTATCTCAAAAATTGAGGTCATTCGATCAGTCAAAATTTCATTCAGTGGCTGATCTATCCCTAATTTTACCTTCACTGGATGACAAGGTCTGCTATTCAATATTTTATTGATACTGATGGACTTTAGAATTATTACCGGAAAAAGTTTTTTCTGGACATCCAAATATGCCTTTAACTCTTAAAGAAATTGATTTGAAGTAATGGTTATCTGGAGCTTGTTTCTGTTTATATATTTTGCCATTTAACTTATAGTGGGTTTCTTTCAGAAAATTTGAAGATTATTATCAGTTGTGCTTTTCATGATGGGAAAAAAGAACATGACATTCTTCTTGCCACAATCAATGATATTTTCAGTTTTGTTCTTTCACAAAATCATATTGAATCCAACTTGCGAAATTCCATGATGAATAGTCAAAAAAAATTTCTTAAACAAATCTAATGCATCTAGCAAATTGAATTTAATTTCGTGAAAATAATATTCATTCAGGGATATATTCTAACGCTATAGTGATCTTCTTTCTGCTGTAGGTATATATAATGAACCAGAAATGTAACTTTGTCCATAGAAGCAAAATAGCAAGCACTGACAGAGAGCTAGATAGCAGTTTGTATTACTACCGGTGAACATATCTAACTCATCTATAGAGTTGCTGTAAAGGAAATAATGCTGAAAACCGGCGCAACATTAAAGCTCATAGTTGCAATTTTAGATTCAAACTGGTTTCAGTAGGTACATCAGAGCAGGAATTGAAGTTTCACTGTAAATTTGAGGGAAAATCGTTCCTGTATGCGTTTTGTCTTTGTTACTTTTGTTCCTTTGATCACTCATCACTGGTAGTCTGTTTTACTAAAACGAATGTAGATTTTACAGGTATTTGTTACAATTTACTTGTATTTGTATAAACACTTCAATAAATCCCCTGTAATTATCAAATCTCTGTTAAATCATAATTTGATTATATGATTTTTTTTTTTTTTCTTTTTTTGGTATTTCCCCAAGAGATCGTGACAGAGAATCTTATATATAAATAACATTTTTATACAATATTTCTCATACAACATAACTTAAGAAAAGATGATTGACCGATTTTAAATTAAAACTAAATTTTCATTTAATTATTTTTTATCACATTATGTTGGATAAAAATGTTGTATGTGTAGTATTACTTATATGTGTGTGTGTGTCAAAATTTTTATCGTGCACATCAAAGTAAGCATTCGCCATTTAGACACTAACTTTACAAACCCTAAAATAAAAAATCATTTATCGACATTCATTTATTAATAATGTTTTATTTACAATTAAGTCATATAACCGGACAAAAATTTTACAAAATTTATGTAAAATGACTACTAAGTCATTTGTTTTTAACTTTGTTATATGACTCAATTATAAGCATAACATTAATCTTCGTATCCAATAATTTGAAGACATTCACACATTTTGTAAGCATGTCAAAGTTGTCAACCCATATTTCTTTTTCTACCACCCATGTCAAGAAAAAAAAAAGTAAGAAAAGTCATTTATATTTTGATTATTTGATTATTTATTCATTTAATTATCATTAACATTGTTTGTTTTGTTTTTAAACTATTTATACATGCAATAGTAAATTTTCCTAGTATTTTGTCTAATTAAGGACTTTTATTCTCAATTATTTTCAAGTTCTTAATATTTTTTTATCAAACTCATATANCTTTCTACAACCCATGTCAAGAAAAAAAAAAGTAAGAAAAGTCATTTATATTTTGATTATTTGATTATTTATTCATTTAATTATCATTAACATTGTTTGTTTTGTTTTTAAACTATTTATACATGCAATAGTAAATTTTCCTAGTATTTTGTCTAATTAAGGACTTTTATTCTCAATTATTTTCAAGTTCTTAATATTTTTTTATCAAACTCATATATTGATTATAAACAATGAAAATGATAGTTAAAATATTGATTTATTTATAATCTAGAAATCCCCAATTTCACCTAACTTGAAATCTAAGTAAAGTAATAAAGGCTTTCGTTTAGTTCACAATTGGGTGTTTTTGGGAAAAGTTTTTTGAAAAAAGCTAAAAAAAAATTGAATTTGCGGGTATTACGATGTAGGATTTATAAATTTAAAATATCCCCTATGTTTGTTTATTTACAAAACACCCCCTATAATAAAACATTAAAAATTAACAAAAACACCCCAATCAACCCTCAAATATGGACAGCCGGCCACCACCGGCGGAGGATGGTCGGAGTCGCCGTATCGACGCATGACCGGCTAGATCTTGCCGGTCGTACCCCGATATGGCCTTTTTCGGCCAGATCTACGGCCAGATCTGGCCGTATTTGCTTGTCAACGACGGCCAACAAACGGTCGTCATTGATGGTCAACGACAACCGTTTGTTGGCCGTCGTTACTGACTGTTACGGCCAAAGATCTGGCCGTCAACGACCAGATCTTTGGCCTTAGATCTGGCCGAAAAAGGCTAAATCAGCTCACTACTGGGTAGATTCAGCCGATAGTGTGCCATCCTAACAGATTCCGGCCATTTTTTGGCAGTGATGGGCAGAATCTGGTAAATGTGGATTACTAAGGTGTTTTTACAATTTTTAAAAAAATATTTAGAGGTATTTAATTAAATTATCAAATTTAAGGGGTTTAAAAAAAGTTGAATAATATTGGGAGTAATATTCCAAAAAATCAGAGTTTTTGGGTATTTTATTGTTTAACTTTTTTGGGAATACTAAAAGTAGTATTCTCAAAACTGAAACAAAGGAAGCCAAAATTGTTAAAGGATTTTTGTACAAAATGATATTTTATATTCAACATTTTATTAATTTCCTGTTACATTATTTTATATAAAAATCTTATATGGTGAATCTTGCAATCACAAAAAAGAAAAATATTTTATTATTTACTGTCCAATAATCTCTAACTTACTTAACAGTAATTTGAAATTGGATTACCGTCCACCTCTATCATCTTTGAAAGGGGAAAAAAAAAAAAAAATCACTGTAAGAGGATTAGGACCCTTCATGCATATAGCTAAATATTATAAATAATATAGTGTTATTACGTTCTAATTACATTTTTTAAAAGTTCTAATTACATTAATCCGTTGAAGTAAAATATAATAACAAAAATTCTTTTAAGTTTATTACGTTTGACAGACGCTAGAGAGTTTTTCCTGGTTTGAGTAAACGTAAACCTTGGGTTTAAAGAATAATCACAATTAATAAATGTAATAAAAGTTTGAATAATTCTTGAGGATAGCGCCAAAGCTCCTAAAAAGGAGCGCTCAGCTAAAACCGCCAGGCAAAATCCCAATTCCCTCTAATAACTAACCGCCACCTACACCCGCCCTTTCTTTTTCCTGCTTTCTTTCTTTCATTGTTCCTTCTGTTTTCAGAAAAAAAAAAAAAAAAAAAAAACTCTTAGAAAAATGATTTTACAATCACTTTGAATTTTGACCACCTCCATCAAACCCATAAATAGTTAAAATCAAAGTAAGTCCTCTATCGTTTCATTCATCTTTCTAGTTCAATTTTTTTTTTTAATTATTATTTGTTGTTTTTATTATTACTAACTGTTTAACTAGGTTGGCTGTTTGTTTCCCGAGAAATTTGTAGAATATCAGAGTAAATGAAAATAAAAATTTCTGTTCAATTAAGTCAGTTACAGTATTTGTGTGAAGCTTATCTAATTCACCATCATGTTGCCTTAGTTTAATTCAAGTTTCATTTTCTATTTGTTTCCTCTGTTTTCTCGGCGGCCAAAAAGAATATCCGGTTAGTTATATTTTGAGTTATATGTGTTTGTTATTTATTATTGTTCGGCTTTAGAAGAAGAAATGGAAATTGTTAGTTATTTCTAGTTGTTTGTTAGTGTTTATTTTTAGGCGAGGATGGTGCTTTAGTGTGAGGTGTTGTGAAAGTAGTGAATTGTTGTTGAATTTATGAAAATTAAATCAAAATGATTGAACTTTTGAAGTCTAAAGATGAAAAGAGAGAATTTTAATGTTCTTTTAGTTTATTTAATTCTCAACATGGTTGGAAATTCTTTACTAAGTTGAGAACATGGTGTTGTATCAGTCTGATTACTCTTTGAATGGTATTTCAGCCATTTCATTTAGGCGATTAAGTTTGATTTTGGGTGTTTGATCAAATAACTGTGTTGTCCGTATTGCATTAGAGTCTTGGTGGGATTGATATTGACAAGGTTGTAAGTTGTAACCTTGGGTATTTTTCACTTAGAGTAACTTTGTGGAAGAGTTGAATTCTTGTTCTGGCTTTATATTGTAAGCTTCATGTATTTAGTTAGGAAATGAATGTAAAAATTGCTATCAATTTCTTGTGGGGGTTTAACATGTATATGATATGGTATGCTTTCTGGCGGTATAAGCATATGCACTTGCAACAATGTTGGTGTGTGCATTTTTATGCTTAATGTGAGGACTATGCCAGTTTAGGCGTTTAGCCTTTTTTAGTTTGTTCTATGGTGATGTTAACTCTCATTTTGTTGCTTTTCAGTGGATTTGGAAACCGCTGTAGAAGACAAAACCATCATAACAGAAAGTCTTACTGGAGGTGAGTCTGGTGTTTGTGAAGTTGACACAAACCAGGAACCATACGAGGGTATGATGTTTGAGTCAGAAGAAGCTGCCAAAGCATTCTATGATGAATATGCTAGACGAGTAGGATTTTTGACACGAATTGTTTCATCACGTAAGTCTGAGCGTGATGGGTCAATCATCTCTCGTCGACTTGCATGTAATAAAGAAGGATTTAATGTCAACCGTCAAAAGTCAGGGCGGGTTCGTATACGAAAGCGAGAAAGCATACGTGAAGGTTGCAAGGCAATGATATTGGTGAAGAGAGAGAAGCCAGGGCGGTGGGTTGTAACCAAATTTGTGAGGGAGCATAATCATACTTTAGTAGTTTCTTCCGAAAATGGTCGACCAGCTCCTGTAAGTGGCTGCCAAATTGGTTACAGCGTTAAGTTTGTTTGTCTATTGATCTCTGCAATTGGTTCTGTTATTCACAGGATTTGCACATCCAGAAATTTAGATGGTCACTCTAATACTCCTAAAAGATGTACAAAATCAGAACTTTTCTCTTTGGGTTCCCTTTCTTTCTTCTTCAGTGGCCTTCCAATTTTCTGAAAATTTAGAAAACATGAGTGGTCAAGAACCCTCAGTGATTATTGTGAGCTCTTTCAAGTTCCAACAAACTTTTCACATAGAATACTTTTTTAGGAATTTGGTGTTTTCTTTACCTCTTAGATTGTTCAAGAAAGAAAATAACCAGGGTCATGGCTAGAGATTATTGGAAGTAAATCACCAGGGGAATTTAGTGTTTTCTCTACCTCTAGCCAGGCTGAAAATTAAAAAAATCATGATGGGCATTTTATCGTAAACCACATGGGGTTATAATTGTTTTTTGTAGCCATGGCTAGCCCTCTACTAGTTCCGCCACTGCAACGAACATCCAATCTTGAATAAGCTAGAGATTTTTCAAAAAGATGTAGAGAGTGATAACACCATTTCAGTTGGGTCTAGCAAAAGTCCAAGGATATATGAGAGGAATATTTCATATAAAGAGACTGCATATAGGATTTTAATATAATAATGTCATAGTTGATAAGCTAAATTCAACATATTTTAGTGGAAGAGGATGATCCAATGGTTGAGTTGCTAATTACTACTAGAGGTGATCAAAACTTAAGCTTCTGTATCCCCATCAGAAATTACTTCAGGTTCTGGTAATGCAATTAATGGGAATGAGGTGCTTAAAGAGATGAAAAACTTTAATAAACATAAAAAGGAAGAATGAGAAACATAAAAAACTGAAATATATTGGATGAATTGTTTGTAGCAGCAAGTTATCTTGCTGAAGCCTTCTGAGTTAATATTTTGCTTATAGCAAGGTTGTGGGTACTTTTTTTTTTTTTTTTGCTCAGTGAAAGAAACCATACAAACCATAATTGTGATAGACTGGTTAGTGATCTGCAGAGACAGAAAGTTGAACTAGCTTGGATTGTATGATCTGTTCCTGGATTATATTATTTTTTTCAATTGAGTACCTTGATATGGGATATTTCAAGCTTACTGCCGAAGAAATTTTTCTCATGATCACTTGCAGATTGGTTTACTCCTGAATATTGATTGATGAAAAGTTGTTAGGAAGCTGTCTAGAATAATCATAAATTATGTTCTTTGTAACAATTAAACAAATAAAAGATGGCCTATGGTCATGATTTTGAAAGTACGAAAAGCTAGTGTATGGTTTCATAGGTTTGATCATTTAGTTTTTTTAAGGGGAAGTGAAGCTGAAACTATGTGCTTGTTCACATAATTTGGATTCTGCAATTGGCTGACCTCAATCTGATGGCCTTCCAATGATACGCTTGTAGTTGGCTTGTAATGAGTATATTTCCCCAGATAACCTCATTGATTCTATAAAGTACTCCAACTCAACTGGGAGAATAATCTCCATGGTTGATAAAGCATCCTTCCATCAACTTCATGCTTGAATGCTACTTGAGTGTGATGTAGATAATTACCATTTTACCACTAGAGAGAGTAGTTTACCTTAGTAAAAACCATTTTGTTTATTCACCTTATTCCGAGAAGAACCTATTAGCACATGAATTGAAAAAATATGCTATATTAACTTCTCAAGTATTTTTAAAATTGTATAATGTTTTTGACTGTTTCAGTGTTTGCCATATCTGCACTTTCCCAATGTCCTCAAGAACTATTTAAATTATGTAACCTCGTGAATTGGGGTTTCTTATGCATTTAAGATTTCTTGAAGCAAACTGGGTTATGTGCTGATGAATAGTTTTCAGCATAACCAAAATAGTGCTAAATTTTTATTATAAATTTCCTATTGAAGGCAAAAGCATTGTTATTTATCTTTCATATCTTTACCAAGGTGATTACAGGGGATTCCTTTAAATTAGGATAATATCAAAAAATATATGTATTCATTAAGGGGTAACAAAATATCTGAAATTGCTGCATATGAGCTTCTGTGAAGATGGTTGGACATTACTCTCAGACTTAAACCAGATGAGCCATTCTCTACTAATGGTGATAATTTTCAGTTGGAAACCTATATGAAATTTATATTGAATTTTGAGAAGTTCATTATGTCCGCAAAAACACTTCAGGCAGTATCTGAAGCAACTGATGGTTGTGGTGTTGTGGTCAAACTTTTACTGAAGTTGTTTGGGAAAAGATTTTGCCTGTGTATTGTTTAAATCCATTGGGAGACTGACGCCGATGCATTTTTCAATTATGTTGATTTATCAACATTTATCCTTCTTAGAATCTAGCCACCATTACTATGATTTCGTAAAAGAAATAGTTTTTTCCATTGTGTAAGCTTATACAATTGTATTTATATTTTAGATTGACTTGTCAAGAAGTGTTCTTTCTATATATATCTATTGGCTTACATATTGTGTTGTCTTGCCAAAATGAAGGCAAAATATTTTACCGTTTCCTACATCTATCCTTGTGAATTTTCAGATATCTAAATCATCAATGTATTATGATTTAGGATGAGAAAGACAGGAGAATCCGAGAGCTATCTTCCGAGTTGCATCGTGCAAATCAACAGTTAGCTGCGTGTCGAGAGCAGTTGCGAATGTTCATGTCATATATTGAGGAGCATACCAAGTGCCTATCGAAAACAGTCGAAGGGGCTGTTCATGACATAAAAGAGGTTGAATCTCATGAACCTAATCTCCATGGTTAACCTCTGGCATTTCCAGTGAATATTTAAGAAACTTTGTACTCTTGTAAATAGGTAAAGGGGTCAACTAAATTATTTAACCCTATAATATATCTCATTCCAGATTTTGAATACTCCCTAGAGAACCATGTTCATCTTCTACATGTATACTTTGTAGAGTGTATAATTTGAAATATCTAACCAGTATGATACTTGACAATATAGTTATTCTTTGCTGTAGACGCATGGGATCTATGTATTTAAGAAAAATTATTTGGTAGAATCATTCTGTTAGCGATATGAGTTTTTTCTCCGTATTAAACTTTCAACTAACACCTTAAGAATTCTTGAAAATTATGATGGGGTCAAATTTCGTAGTGTTTGCAAAGGGGTGTAATCGACCAGAGCCGAGTATTGGGAAGCTCAAGCTTGCTTGGCTTGAACAGTTGGAGCTCCAGCTCGAGCTCTATTAAGCTTCAAATGTTGAGCTCAACAGAAATATGAGGGCTTGGACTCGGCTCGATTACCTGTGCAGATTGAGCTCGAGCCAAGCCCGAGTTTGAACCAATGTCAGTAATTAGAAAACATTTCTTCAACCCAAATCAATTAGTAATCACCCGAAACTCTCTTCCCGAACAAACAAGATTATACAAAATATTTTAACACATAAACAAGAGTACAAAACTAAACATAGATAACAAAAGCTTTACTAAACTGGAAAAAATACAATCAAACACTAGGACGTGGGCAAGCCGTGACTGCCACGATCTGGCAAGAGGTGGCCTAATTGGGCCGCCAAAGTTTGGGCAGATATGGGTTGCCAAAGTTTGGCTAGATTTAGGCTCTTGGAGAAGGAAAGGGGGAGAGAAAGAGGAGGAGGAGAAAAAGTGAGAAGGAGAAGAAAAAAGAAGGGTGAAGAAGAAGAAAAGAGAAGAAGAGAGGTGGCCAAGGAGAAAAAAGAAAAGAGTGAGTCGGCAGAGAAGTTAGGGTAAGAAATTCGAATTTTTAAGGGATGTAAATTTCACATTTACATAATTTAGTAGGCAAAATGGTAAATCATATATACCCCCAATAGTTGCAACACTTGTATATATACCCTGTCAAGCTCCAGTAAGCTCGCGAGCTGCTTGAGCCGACTATTAGGAAGCTTGAACTCAGCTCGATGCGGCACTCAAGCTAGGAATTTCAATTGATTAATACTTAGTGGTTCGCACAGGAGAAATAACATTAAATATTATAAATATATTAATACAAAATTATATACTAAAAAATCAACTTATATAATCCTATTTGAGACATTGCATATTTAAATTGAAACAATGAATTATTATTAAAAAAATAATAATAATGTACATACTCATAGTTGTGCTCTTGCAAATAGATTTAACAGTCAACTAAGTTACTTAAAATTCTGTACAGCTCATTGAAGATGTGGAAAACTGTTTTCATATGTATTCTAAATTATAGTATACAAAACAATGAATTATGAATTTAATTAATAATATAAATTATAGTATATAAAACAGTGAGTTATATTGCATTTGACAAAAAAATGTTTGGCACAATCAATTGTATTTTTTTATTTTATTTTTTTTGTGCAACTATTTGGATCACCATTCAATATTGGAAAAAAATTATAGAATTTTTATTTATGATTAAAATAAAAGTGTATTTTGACATTTAATCCCAATATGGTGTGTGTGTGTAATTATATCTACAACTATTTGAAAATACTAATTTTATGTCATTCTTTGTATCTTACTATGTGTTTTCATATGGACCAGAGTTAATTACAATTCTCCCTTAACAACGTATCACTAAATAATATTTTCCCCTCTATCTGAAACAACAATTTACTCTTATTATCACTAAAAGTAATATGCCCTTAAATTTTGGCATCTTGGCTTTTGCTTCATTAATTGACTTTATTATAAGATTTCACAGCTTCCATTATGTGTTTTCATTTTACCTTTGGACGGTTAAATTAAGTATTGAAACCCTAAAGAATAATACATCAAGGGATAAAATTTATATTTCAAATACATGCGGGTGAAAATTGTCATTCCTTGATAGCGTAAGGGGAAATTGCAACTAATTCTATAAATAAAATGTAAGGAGTTTCTAGCATTACATAGATTCAGTATTTTCAGCATAATGCATATAATTCTTAGCTAACAACAATACATGAACTTTTTATACTAGAAAACCACCAGCTGTTAAATATTATATTGGTTAGATAATTCTAAAATCTAAGTACTCAAAATAATAATTTCACTTTTTTCTTATACAGTGTGGCATGAAAAAAGAGGAAATGGTTTTATAAAATATGAGATGAAACTATATATTCAAATAAATTAATTTCAATAAAATGGAAAAATAGTTTATGTATAGTAATAAAATTAAAAAAAAAAAAAAAACGTTGAATGCTATCATACTAGTATAATATATAACATAAAAAAAAAAAAATGTCCGAATTTATTCCTAGTATGATTAGCATTCAATGTTTTTTGAAAAAAAAAAAAAAAAAAACTGAGTATTTAGATAATTTTGGGTTAGTTTACAAGAGAATTGAATATTGAAATAAAATGCGAGCAAACGACATGTTCCCACCCAAGGTTTCGCGAAATGGCAAGTTCCCAACCCTAGCTTCATATATTCTTGATTCCACCCCTTAAATTAATAGAAAGTTGTTTAATGTAATAGTTAAAGGTAAAATGGTCATTCCAAATCCTAGATCTCATTCGACCGGAATAGCACAGGCCAGGTGTGATTGCGACACTTGGACCTCCACCAAATCCAGACTTCATCTCCCCCTCCTCAAACCACATCAAACTAAATCCAAACTTCATACCCGAAATTAAAACCCCAGATCCAAAAACAAATCAATTCAAGAATCTACCCACGTGACTATTGTCTCAAGCCATCTAGCTTGATTCCGGGATGGTTGGACACCCCAACACCACTAAACACTTTACCTTAACCCCCACCAAAACCGTTTCTATCCCCACTAAGGACACCCTTCAATCACTGATCGCTGCTCATCTAGGGTACACGTGCTTCAAGCTGATTTTCGATTGATTTCGGCATCGAAAATCAACCTCGACACCACCATTACCTCACTAGCTTCCTATCATCGCCAACCCAGGATCTCATCAATCGTCGGCCGCCACTTACCAGGGTTTGCATGGTTCAAGCTGATTTCCAGTCAACTTCAACATTGAAAATCAACCCCGACACCACCATTCACCTCACGGCTTCAACTCACCAAAACCCATGTCATCCACCCAAGATCACTGATCAATGTCAGTCGCCGCTATCTAGGGTTTGCATGCTTCAAGCGATTTTATAATAGATTCTGACATCAAAAATCAACCCTAACACCACCATTCACCTCATCCCCCATCCACCCCCCCCCCCCCCCAATCATCCTAGACCGTGAAATGACCATCGGTCATCATCCACCACTTCCCCATTGATTTCACATGATAGTTGTGATTGGGTTTGATTAAAGTCTTTTTTTGGAGTTCATTTGAAAGGAGATTGATTATGTTTGGAGTTTATTTGTGTTGTTGATTGATTGTATCATTTTTCGACCTTTCTCAACACAATTTTCTGGCCAGTGGTGGTAGAGGTGAAGGCAAAGAGGAGGTGGAGAGAAATTTGAGATGGGGGTTATTTTGAATCAAAAGTAAAAGATTCAAGGATAGTTTGGTAATAGCACTCTCTATTTGAGGGTGGAAATCTAAAATATATGAAAGCAGGGGTGGGAACTACCATTTCGCTAAACCTTAAGTGGGAAAATGTGGTTTACTCATAAAATGCATACACAATTCATATACATTTAATGTATAATTGATAAAAGCTAAGAATTATATGCATTATCCATACTCTAAAAACTCGAAAATAAAATATATGGAATCTCGTAATAAATTCGACTAATGAGGCAAAGCAAGAGTGCCATTTACATTTCTAATATTACAAGTGTATAAATGTATTATCATAAAATATTTAACTATGGCATTAAGTACTTAAAATTGCAGATCTCCTTTATCTCATAAAATATTTTCATGGTTTGCAATCCGCTTGATCTCCTTTATCTCAGCCATATTTTGTTGTGCAACGGAAATACAACTCTATTAGAATAGAAATAAATGTCCACAATAAATGCAAAAATAAAGAACACCAAAGAAATTAACGAGGTTCGATATTATTACCTACGTCCTCGGGTGCTGTAGAAGAACTTCACTATTGTTGAAGAATATTACAAACTTTTAGGTAATACTGCAAAAACCCTAAATAAAGGGAATATAAAAAAAACTCTAAACTATAGGGTAAGAACCCTTTACAATAAGGGGGCGTTTGGTACCTCAATTATTGAGGTAATGTTATCTTATATTACTAGATTGTCAAGTTTGGTTGTCAAGCATTATAAGATTCGAGTAATCTTCCAAAATCAATAGCAATTACTATTGGATAAATAGGTGACAATCTGATTACCTCTATTTTCTTAAGTATATTAAGATTACTTGGTACTATTAATTTTGTTACAATTTTACCCCTTATTAATAAAAATTTTGGACAATAATGCCTTTATTTTGAAATTAATTTACATGAACCTGCCACTACAATTTTATCCCTAATTAATTAAGTTTTTTTGACAATAATGCCCTGGTATTTTAAACAAATTGCAGGCCACCCAAGATCACCATCGCCGCTGCCGTCGACAGCCATTGCTCGCCAAAGTGTCTAAAATGGCCGATCGTGCGCTGATTTGGCCGTCATCTCTAGCCATTCTAGTCAAATCTATGGCTAGAGATTTGGTCATTAACGACAGGCAGAATCTGGCTGGCTGTTAACAACATCTAGAATCTGGTTAGCGGTTAGCAACAACCAAAATCTGGCGGTTATTAACGACCAAATTCTGGCAAGAGATCTAACCAAAAACGACCATATCAATGCACGAAAGATTGGATCTGGCAACTGTCAGCTGCCGTCCGATGGTAGTAGCTGGCTATCCTCTTGGGTGGTTGGAGTGCTTTAGTTAATTGCTAAACTTTTATTGTGGGTGTGTTTAGCTAAATTAATTAATGTAGAGGGTTAAAACATAATTTAAAATAATAATAACAATATTAACATAGAAGGACCATTCAATAATCTACATAACATATCCTCCAAATTATT